ATCTCGTAGGCGGAGCCAGAATGTGTGCATGTTGCATGCACACGTGTGCCCTCGCCAGAGTCCGTGTGGCGTCCCCCCCTTTCCCCTGTATCCCCCTATAGCCCCACGGTACCCAATGGGTGTTTAGGCCTTAGGCCTTCGTGGTAGTTGGAGTATAAAAAAAAAGGGGAGACTTCTTCCTCTTCGAGATATGTTTGTTTCGCTGACACGAATGCGTCGGCTGTCTGTTCATCGATAACCGAAATCATCCACGTTAGGTGGGAGGAAGTGATAAACTAGCGTCCGACGGCTGGTTCAACAAAACCCAACTGTAGAGAATAGACAAGCCGACGTCGAGTCCAGAAGCAAATATAACGGAGCCGTTCGCAATGTCAAAGATCCGGACGATATAAACGCTAGGCACAGGATCATGTCGCAGCGCAATGGCAGTTCTAACTATTTGTCATTTGTTTGTCTGGGCGGTCCTTAGGACCTTTACCCATTAGTCACTGTCTAATGTACGTTAGTCGAATTTGTCAGTCCTGGTTGCTCAGAAACCAGACAATGTCAAGGAGGCAGTTGTTCTTTCTGGACGCTGGTCAGGCAGATTGAAATGAACTTCTCACATAGTAGCCTTGCATCAGTCACGTGTCAGGATTACGATTGCAACCGACTTAACAGCTAAAGCGGAAGTGCTTGTCAAGATCTTTGCTGCCAGCCCAATGCCCAAGTACGGTCGATTCAAACGGTTCCCCACACTAAGCGGGAAGTAATATTCAGGCATAAGACCGTAAGATGGGTGCTCTTGTCGCTCGACATCAACAAACCTTCTGGTCCGGACTTGATTCCTGTCATTGTATTGAAGAGGTGTACAAAGGAGCTTGCTCCAGCTCTTTCGCATCTCTTGGAGATATCTTATGAATGCAGCACCTTCCCAGAAGACTGGAAATTGTACTCATGTCCAACCCAAAAAAAGGATCTAAGACCGACCTTCACAACTGCAGGCATATAGTTCCGCTTGAACGACAATTGAGGCACAGAACTGTAATTTGTAATTACTTTTTCAGATAGTCAAGCCGCACTTAAAGCACTTGACGCCACCTACTCGACATCAAAATTAGTTTGGAATTGCAAACAATCTCTTGGTGGCATAGGGGAGGGAAATTAAGTCCGTCTCATACCAGAACACACAGGTCTAGAGGGAAACGACACAGCTGACACTCTGGCTCACCCTTCAAAGGGCCTCAGCCAGCGATTGGGATTGGATACAATACGTCTAAACAAATAGTCTCTGCAGAGATGGACAGAAAGATTCATCGATACTGGGAGGGACTAGCAGATTTAACCCATACTAAGGCAACTATACCAATCTTGACAAAGAAGGTAACAGACTCTCTTGCTACGGCTGAACAGGAATAGCCTCAAAGCTGTAGTAAGACTGGTGATTGCAAATTGCGTCACCACATGAGCAGGCTGGGCATAGCGGAAGACGCTGAGTGCAGACTGTGCATGGAGGGAGATTAAACGGTCAGGCATGTATTGTAGATGCCCTGCAATTGCCAGAATCTGGTACAATATACTTGGAAACGTAGTAGTCCAAGCAGAAGACCTGAAGGATATTTCTCCAAACAAGTTGATCGACTTTCTCAGGAGGTCGGAGCTACTGGGGGATGTGCATAAATCGCAAGCTTCTGGACTACCTCGAACGTCACGGCTTCATTAGCGACAGGCGGTATGGTTTCTGGCACCAGCGTTCCACAGAGGACCTCCTAGCTTACCTCATGAAATTATGGAGTATACTCATCTCAGGCTCATTTCTTAATATCTTAAAGCGTTCGATCAGCTGTGGCACGCTGCCCTCTTACTCAAATTTCCATCCTTTGGCCTCCCACGGAAGTTTTGCAGATATGTGACTAACTTTCTCTATGGCTGCAAGATATCCGTCGTATTTGACGGATTATCCTCTACATCTCACAATGTCAACGCGTGTGCTCTTCAGAGATCGGTCTTGGCTCCGACATTGTCCCTCTTGCATGTCAACTACCTACTTTCCTGTATGATCAACCCAATCCACAGCTTTGATTATGACAGCACTCTACATGCAGGAATGCAGCTGAAAAAAGAGTACTAGCGGAAACTTTCTCTCTGGCGAGGGACCAGAAGGTTATCACTGATTGGGGATGAAACAATCCTGTACAGATTAAATGCTTCCCAAAAACAGTACTGTACTTTGAGGAACAAAAAGCGTCCTAGCGCTCATCCCGTTTCGATGGACCGCCTAAGTTCTACCAAAGAGCCGTCTCTGGATTTTTTTGCCGTAAACTAGATTTGGTATTGCAAACGTAGTTGGCTCTGGGAAGGAAAGCCCAACTTTCAGGACACCCTGTATAAGCAATATGGCTAGCTCAAGAAATGAAATAAATTACATATTAGATACCATCCTTTCGGAAAGTGGAAGTCTCAAATGCTGTAAAACATTCATTATTTTGCTATCAACTTTTTCATCGGACTCCGGACTCCCAGCATCTTCAAGACAAAAATTCTTTAAATTCGGGAACAGACGGTAGTCTGAAGGTATCATACCGGGAGAATAGGGGGGATGGTTCAGCAAATTACACCCCAAATCCGGCAATTTTTCTACTGCTAACGCCAGGCCTCTTTACACGAATTTCGACATCCATCAGGTCAAGGGAATTTTAATAGTAACGTTAAGTCCCGAAAATATTGGCACAAAATATTTATCGATTTTTTTTAATGAAGAAATTCATTTGAACACTAATTATTTATCATAAATTACAACTCACTACTTAACTAAACTATACTATCGAATTCAGTGGAGTGACCCATTCTGTTCTAACAGACCCAACTTTCTTCGAATATCTCTCATGAAGTCCTGGACGGAATTCGGATCAATTTCTTTCAGTTTTTCGTAAGTTCGCCGTCTTAATTGTTCTTCAAATTGGGCTTCCCAGCTTCCTTGATAAACCTCCCTAGACAGTAAAGCCCAAACATCCTTTGCCTGTGGCAAGTTTGGAAGATTATCGTCTTTGGAATGAAAATATATGTTGTGTTGTCGATGCCAACTTTGGGTATCTCTTATGTAATGGCATGGCCAAAAAAATGATATGGTCATTCGCATGGCGTTCGTGGACAAACTGAAGCAATTTGAAAAGGTAGTTATCAATATAGCTCTGACTATTCAAAGCTGCACCCGTCACTTTGCCCACTAAAGGTTGGGATACACCCCTACTAGAAATTGTGCACCAAACAAGGAATTTATCTGCAAATTTCGCTTTATGTTTGTATCTAACATTGTCAGGGCATTCCTCTACGTTGTCCGAATAAAATCCGCCGTTTGCCTTCATTTCAGAATTACTCAAAGTGAAATACTTTTCGTCATCTAAAATAATGATTTCTATATTGGGAAAGTGTACCCGCCTTAGTTGACGACAGGATCTTGAAATAAGAAGAAGTTGCGATTGAGAGTATTTGGGGCACTCAAGTCTTTTTCGATATTTAAGACCATCCTCAATTCCAACGATATCGTACTCTTAGAAGATCTTTATTGACGACCCAGCCTCTCGATGACATTCCAACCTGATTTTTTTGCTCTTTTCACCAATCTCTCGGACCTCTCTGAAGTAAATGCACGTCGTCTTCCACCTTTTGGCAGATTCAGACATGGTGTTTTCTGCTCGAATTCAGCTATTCTGCGTGAAATGCAATTCTTATATATTCGACAGGTTTCACCTTTGCGTACCCGCCCAACCAGCATGTAGATACTTTTTCGTATTTCTTTAGGACATACGTGGTCCGGCAGCAATTGCTTTACCCTTTGCAGCGTAATCAATTTACGGAACATCATTCTCATCCCAAAACACACTGGCCGTTGCCTTTCCGCAGATGCAACCGACTCCTATGCCTTTGGCGCAGTCCAACCGACTTTCGCCCAATGCCTCAACTGCTGTTTTGATCCTCGATTCTGGTGTCTAGTGTATTCATCCATGTTAACGCGCTCGTAAATAACTTAATCACATTCCTTTAAAACTGGTGTAAACATTGCTGCGAAACTGCATTTATGAATCCGCGTTTGTTCGGCTGGTACATTATAGAGATTTTTTCGCGAGATCCCGTAATGAACGGAGCGGGAACAGATGCAATTTCCCCTTCCTCTCGAAGTTTTGACAGCTTCAAGTTACACCGGGAGTGGTTAGATGGCGCATGTTGCGCAAAATGTTTGCTTTATGCTCCTCGATAAACTTAGCTGCCTTCTTGGAATCTAAATTAAACAGGCCGATCGTTTTTTGTGCAATGTACAAATATATCAATAAAATCAACCATTTGATATGACTAATGCCGTTCCTGTATCTTCGACGACCTTCTTCCACGTCATTTGAAATCAGGTGGACGTATTTCTCCATTTATGATTTAATAGTATAACTCGATCTTCGGCATTGCGAAGACAAATTTTCAATTGAGATGTCTAATTCTTAAATGACATTGACATACGGCCTGTCACCCGCTAGTACCTCACTGAAGTTAGGCGGTTACCTGTACCACGTGATTTTTAGAAATTTGGATGACGTAACATCCGTCTTCCCCTATTCCCGTTCTTCGCAAAAATTTGAGTATCAGTTCCCGGTAGTGTACGGAGCTACATTATGTCGGTATTTTGACATTATAGTTTTTTGTGACAGTAGATATGTTCTGGCATTACATTTCCAACGGTTTGACACCTGATTGTGGACTCCCTCAACACGCATGCGCGGTCAGAAGACTGGTTTCAAACCGTCACAAATTGAACTCTGCCAGAACACTTTTTCCTGTCAAAATATAGTTGACTTGATAGTGACAGCATCGTAGATGACATTTAGATGAAATTCTTGTTTTGTGCGTTTCCCGTTTCATTTTCATGGGGTTTGAATTGCATCTGCGTCTTAGTGTATATGTATTGTATTGTATCTGTGATTTAAGATTTAGTGATTTGTATTTGAAAGTTGATTTTGTGGTTGTTTCGCATCATGTGCGAGCAAAATCAAATATTCTCCTACGTTAGTAGTGACGTTAGTAAGTGTAAATCGGGGTAATAGATATGAGGGTTTATCAAACTTATACTTGACATTTTTGTAGATGTCTCAGAACACAACATGCACGTATAAGGTGTACAATATCAACAATATTTCTCAACTTTATATGGTAAAGCTGACTTGATTTCTGCTTCATTAGGCACTTAGCAGTGCTCTATCACATATCGATTTTTAACTTATGTCAAATTGAGGTTTCTTTCATTCCCCATCAGGTTTCCATGATCTATATATGGTGTTACGATAAGTCTTGTACATGGGTGGCCACTATCGCCCAGTATATAATACTGTTGACAGTTTTGACTCAGTACTGGAAATAGTGGTGAATTCCTGAATACTCGGCTATCATGGACTGATCCAAGGTATCCAATAAAGATGTCCCGGATTTGTACTCAATTATCACAAACAGCTTGTACCTAAAAAAACTATCCTAGTCATGAAAACTATCGACACGTTTTTTGAATCACTTGGATGGAATAAAGGTGCTTGCGGTTCAGATATGAATCAGGATCATCCTTTGGCCTATCAATTCGTATATGAGTTCCGTCTATTGCTCCTACTGCACCTGGAAACCCCTTATCTCTGAAATGTTGCACAATTATGATTTTTTCATCATTGTTAGGCCATTGAACTACAGTTCCAGATATACTGCTAATAAACTTGACCAAACGTCTTATTATGTGGAATAAACAACTAATCTTGATATCAAATCGGTCAGCTACATCACGAAACGATGATGTTTCATGTCCCGCGAACCACAAAAATATGAGTGTGTGTTCATAAGCAGAAAGCTTCCCATAACAGCCAGTCTGCTTGTAGAACGGGCTGTGTTCATATTTAGTTGAGATATCTTCGGCCACTATGTAACTAATCCTAAAATCTTCTCTAAATTTACTTTCAGTATATAGATGCATAATTACGTTTAGGTAATCCTCATTTTTGTTTTTTGTGATTATGAAGCATCATGCCTTCATCATCCGTAGAATCGATTTCTGATATCCAGTCTGACTCTGAGCTTGAAAAATCTGCCATGTCTCCACCATTGATTAAATCATAACCATAATACCACAAATCATAACATAAACAACATTATGATCTTATGCGATCAGCGCATGTCACAAACCCCGAATCCCAACAAAATCGTATGTACTGTTTTGACTGTCCGTAACCAGTTTTCAAACCAAAGATTCGTTTGCTGAAATAGTGGACCGATAATCCCCAACTAGGTTCTAACCTTGCCAGAATACGTTTTCTTTACTGTGCATGCTCAGACGGTTTCAAACCGTTCGAAATGTGATGCCAGAACATATCTAATTACCCATTGTTGTATACCTACTATAGCTGGAAGGAAACGTGCGAAACGGCAGCGCAGAGGTGTACTAATAATTATTACATTTTACATGGATTTAATTTCCCGTCATTTACATTTCATAGAAATTTATTTTGCGATGACGGTTAGAAAATACAAATCAGCGCCTATATGCACTGCGAAAGTATTTTGCGTGTGATGCGTCATTCCTAATTTTTCTGTGATGCTTAATTACAAACAACTCGGACGCGGTAGTGATTTCTCGGAATGCTTTTCAAAGTGTTTGACAATGCAAAAAATCGAGGCAGTCGTAGTTTACAACTTTGAACATAATAGGTATACTTTGTGGGCAGCATGTTCAGTAATAATTTTCTCACAAAGCAAATATGACTTGTTTTATACACATGCAAAGCACAGAATCACCACATAATCATAGTGATGCGATCTTGACACCCTGCTACTCAACCATTTTTTTTCTGTCACATCTCAGAGATATACTCTACAGACTGTCTCGACATTCTGCAGCCAACAAAGCATGCTATCAAACTGACTTGCAGCATGGTCGTTGAAAATGTCGTTGAGTCATTCCTCCATAGGTGACGCTATGGGTGGCGCGCACAGCGCTCATAGCGAGCAAGAGAGAAAGGACCTATCTGGTCAGCAAGTTGACCTTTTATCGCTTTTCTGACATCATGTAGGTTTTTTACGCAATCACCTTGCGGGATCCTGAAATGAGGCACCCACACTGCGCAGAGCTCTCTTATCCCAATTTCTGGTGAAAGTTGTGTAACCTCAGGATCTTTAATGTTTACAATCCTCCCAAAATTCATTAGAGGGTACCAAAGGAAATGGAGCAATAGAACTTTTTTATGGGCACGCACAAAAAGGTAAAGTATAGTTAAGAGAACTGAAAGTCTCGGAGGTATCTGGCGACTACTGCAATCTCTGAACAAGGATTGTGCGAAGTAAAAGTACAACAAGCTTCAAATAGTATATTTGGTATCAAATGTGTAAGTGCTTCCTGAGAAGAGAGTGATTTTTAGTTAACTTGACTGACCATAGCAACAACCATCATGAAATAAGCTCACATAATACATTACAATTATCAGGGAGAAATAGATTAAACATTTAGCCAGAAAAAGGGCTGAAGCGACTAAAAACCAAGACTCACTAAAGAAGAAATTATAAAACAAACATTTCACCCTTGTGACATGGCCACAATATCAAAAGAAAACGTACAAATATAATTAGCTAGGATAGGAAAGTTGACCTACCCGTCACACTGGCAGGGAACAAATTGAGACTGACGGCGTCGCATCTCGTAAGCCTCATATACGAGGTTTTGATACCCGTTGTTTATTTTAAAATCGGCTTCGTGGAATATCTTTAAAGCGCTAGAGTTTTTATTGTATAATAAAAATACATCTTCATTTAGGATTTTTGAAATGTTTTCAAGTGTTATGAGTTATATATTTGCTCACCGCCTGGCCAAATAAAGATCATATTACTCAACCAGCTGCATCGGCGGGTTCGTATCTCTGTATTCTAGGCAATAAAAGAATCGTAAACTAAATTGTAAGGGTAGTTGCAACAGCTTCAACCGCACATGTGCTCTGATTTATGGCTTGAAAACCTCCGTGTGTCCGTGTCTACTTCTGAACTGCAAATCGAACTAAAGGACTCCTTGCCTTAAGTTCCGCTTGTTTGCAAATGTTTCATACCCTCTCTTCTGAGATCCTCATGGTCTCTTACTTACCTCCACAAATCTATAGTCCAATATAATATCGTTCGCCTTTTCGACAGTTTCAGGTGTGGTTGCGGTTTCTAGCCCTCCCTTCACGAGGATCATAGTCAATGAGCTGGAAAGAATTTTCTTAGGGATCAATCTACCTAATACAAAGAATTTGTTGACATCACGATATTCAAGATTATAAATCTTAATGAAAATCACGCAAGAGCGCGCTTCAAAAATAGCTATGATCAAACTACAGAAGAGGATAGACTTAAACTTTACATAAAATTAAATGATGTATGCAATGTGCACCCATGCAGGAATTGTTTTGCTGATTGGAGCGCCGTGTGTGTATCAGGGCGAGAAATGTTTACCTCATAAAAGAAATACAACATTTCTTCCAGACCGCTCAGACAATCATAGTAACGCACTGTATAGGCATGAGAATTTGAAGGAAAAAATATATGAAGTGTCACCTGGAAGACATAAACAAAATATATTGTCATCAGAATTGTCAGTTGTACTTGAAAAAGGCCAGGGCGACCGAAACGTCGTCTCAGAATTTGTAATTCCGTTAGTCGGCTAGACAAATATGCAGGATTAACAGCATCAAGCAGGAGTATGAGCTCAAGGTATTAAAACGATATTAATTTATTATATCTACAGATATACGCTTTCATCATATTTTTCATTGTGAATATATTCTAGTTGACTCTCTCACTACTGTTGTGAATCTGGATGAGTCTAATTAATATACAATGAATCACCAACTGCGAATTGTGACTGGTTAATCAATATACGGCTAGAAACTACAAGCTTCTCTGTATTTGCGAAAGTTCACATTGAAAAAGGCTCTTTAAGAGCTAAGCGTTTGAATATTAGATTGAAACAAGCGAGAAGCGTCAGACTTGAAGTGTGAAGTACCTTTTAATTTGAGAAGTTGAAGGCAAGGTGGCACAATTTACATTTCTCATGGAGGCCTGAATAATGAAACACCAAGAAGAGACTTCTAGCGCGTGGGAAGCTTGTGTGTTTTATTACTCTTGACAAAATGTTAACTGTTTGCTAGTCGAGTTGTTAGGAAGATGATTTTCTTAAAACAATTTATCGCTACGTTGAAACATGAGTGACTTTATTCGTTTCAAAATGTTGTACCGAAGTGTGCCACTATCACTAGATGTGCACAGGAGAGAAAACTTGAAAAAACTTTGCAAACATATCATTTTGTAAGATTAATAGTAACCTGGAAAACCTAGTTGCTACGAAAACAATATAACCAGACAGAACCTTTTATAACCAGTAACATTAAAAATATTGCTGATTAGGTGCTATATTCGAAGAATCACTAATTTTTTAAGTATAAAGGATATTGTAGATAAAAACTTTTTTTTCCAGTCCAATATGATACTTTTTGTCATTTATTTCCGTCGGAAGTTTCAGTTTCAGGGTATCAAAAAAGCAATTCATCGATAACCCCAGATATGACCTGGCCAATGAAGATTATCTTTGTAAATTCAAATAACAGCCACCGTTATTAACAGCAGATTCATGTCGAGCTTCGGATTCTACATGAGTGATTTTCATAGTCAAGTAGTCATCAGCGGTATAATTAATCAGCATGACCTACTGTAACCTCTAAAAAGTACACATCCCAAAAACGTGGTAACTGCTCACTTTTCTTTATCCTGTATGATCAGAGTGCAGTACATGTGGGAAAAACATTGCTTTTTGATATCTGAGCTTTATTTAAAAAATGAATCGACATTGAGAAATCTAAGTACTTGTAGTATGTACTTTAAGACTACTGATCGCCTGACGTCATGCACGAACATGAATTCTGGTGAAAAATCTGGAGCGCGACACGAAGCTGTCTGAAGTGGTGGTTGCTACTTGAATTTATACAGTTGACCACTAAATAACCTTTGAGGTCATTGTCTAGGTCATGTCTGAGGTCAGCGATAAACTGTATATTTGAGACACTAAAAAACTTCTGTAAACCATTGTTTACGGGGTGCTCGTGTACTTTTCAGACGTTACATCAAGTCATGCTGATTGAACCACTTATGACCGCTTAACTTCAGGTATGACAATGAAATCTGATGCAGAATCTCGAGCTCGACATGAACCTGTTTTATAAAATGGTGGTTGCAATGTGAATATACAAAGTTGACCTCCGCGGTCATTTTCTAGGGCATATCTGGGGTCATTGACGAGTAGCTCATTTGATGTCCTAAGACTTTTCTGAGAACCTTTTTTCCGGAAAGAGTGAGGTTGTCAAATTTTCTGGCTGTTCCAGTATTTAATAATAATTGACATTTTGAAACTATACCGTCTTGATCCGACACTGTATAAATATGCGAAGTAGGGCACTTGCCTTTACCTTGTGCTTCACAGTGGCCCTCTCAAAGCAATGCTTCGTGACTTCTAGAGACCCAGTGACATTTCGAGCATATAATTCGTTTTCTTTTCTTTGCAGTTTCCGATTTCACCCAGCAACTGGGCCAGATGTACGAACGGCATGCCGAGGAGTTGCAGATGCTTGTTACCAACTTTCGAAAAAGGAACAGCGAGCTCAGGAAAGAAAGGTAAGGTGTTTCTTTCTGAATTAACGGAAAGCCCAAGTAAAACAACAACGTTATAAAAACTTTCTCGGAACTTTGAGTCGCTCTCAAATCGCGCTCGTACAACAGGGTTGTTCTTTCTTTTAAAGCATCCAGATTCCAGATAGTATCAGGTGACAAACTAAACTAAGAATAAGAAAGTTGTATCAAAGAACAGCATCCACTAGGTCAACTGAACTGACCGCGGAACGCAGCTATCGGAAAAATAATTAGATAAAAAATGGCGTCAAGTAGATTGACTACATACTTCCCATGCTTTCCTCCCAATTCGCAAATTACAAAGCGAAACTTGGAGGTATGACCACTTAAATACGATGTATCGTGAACCCATACATCTCAGACTATTTAAAATAAATCTTTCTATCATATTATTATATCTAATATTTCTATTTCGTAACAACTTTTTCACTGATGACAAACTCTAAACCCCAATTTTCGATCACTCCAAAAAATTTGGAGAGGGCACAAACCTTATGGAAGTCACTCTCTGGTAGACCTTGCTCAAACCTTGGGATTAAGCTATTGATGATATACAGGGTGCACCAAACATGCGAGAACGGAGTATTGATCCTAAATGAAAGCTTAAGAAAGAAAACTATTTATGGGTTATTTTACATGACATCCAAGTGTACATTTCCAAAATACTCAAAATTATACAGGGTGTCCGAATTTTGCCACTCATCAAAAGCAGTTTTTGAAGTGGAATGCCGTACTTTCTATTACACACCCAGATAGGACCTTTTACACGAAGAAAATTGATGACACCTACTTAGGGACTTTAAATATAAGTTAGTGGGCTATTGGGTAGTTTATGTTTAATAATACACCAAAGCTTGGCAACCTGCAAATCAGCTGTTTTGACAGTCATTGGTGTAAGCATATAGGTTAATAAATTCATGACAAGAAAACATGTTTAGTTGAAATTTTGCAGATTTAAGCACGACCATAACCTTCAAGGTCATGTCAATTTCAATTCACTTCTTTTCGATGAGACACTTTTTATTACGGGAAGAAAAAGGGTGGGACATTGATGTACACCAACGATAGGTCTTGATTTTGATCTTGATCATTGCGTAACATACAACTCTATTAGCACTTTTTGAACACTATGCCCCTGTTCGTACAATTAGGGTAACTAAACCTCCCGCACCTTGGCTGACTTACAATATAAAATGTATGATAGCCTTGAGACAATCTGCATACAGAAAATTTAAAAAATCTAGGTAAACTCCAGATTGGAGCCTTCATAAAGAACTAAGAAGCATTGTGAATATGGATATTTTCCGCAAAAAAACAATGTTCTATCGCAACTACGTGATAAAAAAATAATAATGCAAAGCATTGACAGAACAGATGCACAGAAAAAGCTTTTAGAAAAGTATGTCAATCGAACCGCATCGCATACTTTTAGTTTCACTTTTGCTGACGAGGATACTGTTAAAAGATACATAAATAAAATTAAAAGTAATGCTATCGGTTCTGACAGCACTTCTCTTCAAATGCTTAATATTGTAGAAAACCAGTTGTTGAAAAACATCACGCACATAATGAATTTTTGCATTTCACACAGCGTCTTTCCGTCTATCTGGAAACCTGCTGTTGTGCTCCCTTTACCCAAGTGTAGTGTAACTATCCAACCAACCTTAGTGACATTAGACCAATAAGCATTTTACCACCTATCTCTAAGCTTCTTGAAATGGCAGACTTACTTACCTCTGCTCAATCTGGCTTTCGATATCAGCATAGCACTACAACTGTTCTCTAATCGATTACCACTGACATCTATGAAAATATTAATGGAGGAAAAGTAGTTTTTCTCACTATGCTCGATTACAGTAAAGCATTTGATACGCTGGAAAATAATATATTATACGAGTTAGGGTATTATGGATTTTCAACCCCCGCTGCTGACTTCATTAGATCGTATTTATCAGATCGCTTGCAATATTTTCGGCGGTCGAGGTCGAGTTTCTTCTACTTCTCGTGTGTGTCAATTTTCTGTTGGAAAACATATTAAAAAGTTGTGTAAAAATTTCGTGTTTTCGAACAGTTTATGTACAAAGTGAATGCATACACACTTCAGACTCTTCAAGTAAATAGTTCTCGTATGAAGAGGTATGATTGCACATCTAGTTATCGAGTAACAGCAGAAGGAACACAGTTTTTTTTATAACCCAAAAACCACTGCCAACAATACATACACCAGATATTACGTACGTAAAGTAAACATATAGTCGAGGTGATATTCCTATAAAACCTAGTTTCCAACCTACACAAATAATAGGACACAGTACAATATTTCATTGAACGTTACTTATCGATACAATACAAGAAACGAAGATGCCGAATTATTTCGAATGTTGTAAAACCAAAGAGCTATCCAACTATGTGTGCATAACATGTAAACAAATTTTTCATCGCAGTTGCTGCAACAAACGAAATGACGTAATTGTCATTGCCAAGCATATGATATACTGTAGTACGACATGTCAAGGAAAAGGTGAAGAAGAAATGGAGAAGGATAACACTACCAAAGAAATAATAAGAGAATTACAACAAGAGATTATAGAGAAGGATAAATATATTGCCTCTATGAAAAAACGCTCATTGGCTTTTGAGGATGATGTGATTGAAATTGAAAAAAATTACAACGACGAGATCCAGACTTACAAGCGTCAAATACAAAATATAGAGCAACAACTAGCATATTTATCCTCAAAAAACAGTACACTTCAGGAATTGACAACCTCACTTCTGATGGAAGAACCTCCAGTTGCGAATGATATTAGGGCCACAAGTTTCCAAATGAAGACAAACGATATGTGTAAAAGCCAGCCGATAGAACATGAATTCGACGAACATCAAACAGCGTCGACTTTTGCCCACTGTACATCTATCGTTTCCCCCATACCCCAGTTAGACGGTGAAGTAGCAGCAGAATCTGCAAGACAAACTCCAAAAGAATTCGATGATGCACCAATAATCGATATAGTACCATCAGGTGGATCACCGAAACGTAATGCCTCAGACAGCTGTCGGAAAATCATTATAATTGGTGACGAATATGCAAAAAGTTTCAGAAAAGTGTTAGAATTATACACCGACATGACAAAGTTCTCCATAAAAGCTCACGTTTATCCCAATTTAGAGTTTGTAGATATCACAAAAAACGTATTTAACATCACAAAATCTCTTGGTGAGAACGATTTTGTAATCTTCATGATCAACTCTAACAATATAAGTAACACCCCATCCTTAAACAAAGGTTTACATTGCCTCTTACCTCTCGGTCGAGTAACCAATCTTATTTTTTTATGCGAATTGACCACATCTGTCGACTATCATCTTAGAAATATAATTAATACTAAAGTCGATAGACTCAGGAAACTAAATAGAAACTATTCTTTGAGCCTATTCTATGACATCAGAGCTACGGGATCAAAAATGACAATCATCCAGCATGTAAAGGATATTATTTTTGAACAATTAAAAAATGTATTGCCTTTGAAAACTGTACAAATCAACATCCCCGACAAGTCTGAAAAACAGTTTTTTCTTAAGTAAATCACTCATTAGGGAAGATAAACAACAGAATAATACAATACCAAAACCACGATCTGTTAAAACAGTAAAAAACAGTAACATGCTCTTTAGACTACTACATCTAAATATCCAAGGTGTTCGCTGTAAGTCAGGAATCATCGAATCACTGTGTGAAAAGAATAAATATACAATGCTCTCTATAAATGAACACTGGTTAAGAAAAGATGAGTTATCCTATTATCATATCTCTGGTTTTAGATCTGTATCTAGTTTCTGTAGGGATGTGAAAATTCGTGGTGGTGTGGCTATTTATATAGCAAATCATGTTAATGCCGTACCTCTATCAGATAACCTTCTGAATCTGTCAGAAGAACTACACTTTGAGGCGGCCGGAGTAAATGTGAATGATCTTCAGTTAATCTCACTGTATCGATCTCCTGATGGTAATTTTGAATACTTTATTATGAAACTTTGTCGTTTATTGGATGGACTCGATTACCGCAAGCAAATTGTGATAACTGGAGATTTTAATGTTAGATTTAATACGTTACAACACCAAGCTCAGGAGCTTGTGAACTTATTTAGTTGTTATGGTTTCATGCCAATAGTTAGTCAAAATACAAGAAACTCAAGTTGTCTAGATAACATCTTCATAAACTACGTAGACTCAGAAATTAGCGTCAATGTTTTTGATACTCATTATTCAGATCATTTAGCGATTGACTATACTTTTAATTTATCACATGCACCGAAAGTACGTAGGAAACTCTATTATAGACCTATAACAAACAGCGGCCTTTTCAAACTTTACAATGATATGGAATCAACATCTTTCGAATTTGTTAATGAAAAAAGTACGACAATCGAATATAAAATTGAAAAATTCATATCCATTGTCAGAATTTCGGTCAATCAACATCTTCCTATAAAATCGCGACTTGTTAATGATAATATAAGCTCCTGTAATGTGTATTGGTTCAATGATCATTTAAGAAATATGAGAGAGACTTTGACTTTCCTAACAGAGCTTCATAAAGACGATGTTACTTTAGTTAGTACGGACTGCTTGAAACAATTTAAATACAGTTACAGACAAGAAATTGTCAAAGCTAAGATTAAAGCCAATGATGACTACATTAATAAATCCAACAACAGACAACATGCTGCTTGGAATATCATAAAGAATGTTAAACCGAACGTGCACAACCAGGACTCCTCAACATCTCTCACAGCACATCAATTCAACGACTTTTTTACCCATATCGCACAAAAACTTTTAAATAAAATTACCCCATCCGATGTTTCTCCATCGCATTATATGAATCATCCTACTCATAGTTCACACTTTCGATTCAGGGAAGTTTCATATCATGATGTGAGAACTGCCATAAATAAACTAAAAAACTCAAAGAGTACTGACCCATATGGCTTTACTGTCAGGATTGTCAAAACCTTGCAAAATCTCATCATATATCCTCTAACCAAGTTATTCAATCAGTGTATAGAAAGTAATACCTTTCCGGATTTTTTCAAACTATCTAAAATTATACCCATTTTCAAACAAGGGGATACTGAAGAGTTATGCAACTACAGGCCCATTTCCTTAATACCTATTTTTGCGAAAATTTTGGAATTATTGTTGAAAGATCAAATTAATGAATACTTTGAGGCTAATAATCTATTTTGCTCAACACAGTTTGGTTTTAGGAAAAATCGTTCCACCACATCAGGTATTAACAGTTTTATTCAGTTTGTGCACGAGACTTTTGAAAACAACCTATATGGCGCAGCATGTTTGTTGGACTTGTCCAAAGCTTTTGATTGTGTTCAACACGACATCCTGTTGGAAAAGCTCCCTTTTTATAACTTTCATGAAACATCCACTGCAATGATTAAATCTTACTTGAGTAATCGACGCCAATTTGTATTCTTTAAAGGTTCATCATCCTCACAGTTAGTCGCTGCTCACGGGGTACCGCAAGGCTCGGTATTGGGACCTATTTTATTTTTAATTTACGTCAATGATATAACTAACTATAATGTGAATAATAACTTAATCCTATTCGCTGATGACACTACCTTGATGAATAGCAATGCCTCTTTAGCCTCATTGATATTCGACTCTGAAGCTCATAAAAGAAAACTATCAAACTGGTTAACCGCTAATAAGTTGACCATCAATGAAACCAAGTCTCAGATGATTATTCTTAGCTTGAGGCAGCACGACATAATACACTAAAGTCCGTGAAGTTACTAGGAGTCTACCTTGATGAACACTTGTCGTGGGAAACTCACGTAATCCATGTTCTCAATGCACTAGCAAAATATATATATTTGATAAGGAACTTGAAACAAAATGTCTCTCAGTCAGTTCTTCTTCTAACATATTATTCCTACTTTCAATCAAGAATTTCATACGCATTGTTAAACTGGGGTCACTCGGCCCATTCGTCAAAAGTTTTTGGATTACAACGACGTTGCTTGCGGTACATTGCTGGCCTCAAATACACGGAACCTTGCAAGGAAGCTTTTATAGAATTGAAAATCATGACAGTACCTTCTCTTTACATCTTCACATGTCTGATGTATATAAAGACTAACCTGAGCCAATATACTACCCACAGTGATGTCCACAGTTATAGAACCAGAAATATGGATAAAATCTTAGTACCTCATAGCCGTCTCCAAACCACCAGGAACGGCACAAACTATTATGGGATAGTTTTTTATAACCTGTTGCCAGACCGTATAAAGAAACTGGATGCGAAAGTTTTTAAAAATAAAGTTAATGCTTATCTGACTACTAAAGCATTTTACTCGATCAACGAGTATTTGAGCAACAATTTTTCAGACTTGTCGGATTGTTAGCAAATACAACAGTGTTCCTACACCTGGGATCCTCTAGGCTCCTTGAACTTTCTACTAAGTCATCTGGTAAATTTTTATATCAACATTTCATATGTCTTACCATTTTAACGTATATGTGTGTATGTGTGTATATATGTATGTGTGTATATATGTATGTGTGCGTGTGTGTGTGTAGAAGTAAACATATTGTGGTTAAATGAATATGCGTGTATCTATGTACGTATATATGTCCTCCTGTTTTTACAACTTTTATGGACTGTATCTGTTTTATTGAATCATAATATCATAAGTTGATGTTTTTCTGTGTAATTTGAACATCAGTCTTTTGTCAGACTGCTTTTTTGTATTAATTTTGTTTTTCTTTTGACTTGTGTAAACACGCTGGTGTACTTAACACAAATAAAGAATTGAATTGAATTGAATTGAATTGAAAAGTGTACTAGTTGATGGGCAGTATTCTGAGTCCCTTCCTAAAAACCATGGAGTCCCGCAGGGCACCATTTTAGGACCCCTTCTTTTTGCGATATACATATCTGATTTTGGTAAGATCGTCAATTACTGTTCTAACCATCATTATGCGGTTGAAACCCAGATCTACAAAAGTTTTCCAATACCTGAGTGTTCTGATGCTAAAAAAAATGAGCTAAAGACTCTATTGATATTAGAATACAAAGCGAACAAATATGTGTTGCAAATGGACCCAAAAGGTTTACTTGATTCAATCAACACTATCTATCGATTAATTGGAACAACTGTAATTTAGTTTACAAAGGCTAAACATCGAGATCACTGAAAGGCAGAATAACCTCACACAAAGGTGACGCCAGATTACATCCGGACAGATGTGCTTTGGCATCACATGTTAACAACACAGGTCATTCTATGAGTTATAGCAGTATTAAGGTTCTTGACAAGGAACAACAACTCTCAAAACGTCTATTTTTGGAAATGTCCCACATTGTATGAATAAAGGGCTGATGTGAAGCAGCTTAGTGTCATTTATTCTTACTTGTTGAATTGCGAAAATTTAGAACGGCTACATATTCCATTTGATCTAACGTCCTCCCAAAATTAAAACACAATTCCAATTATTTATTCTGTTAATTGAAGCATTGCTCTCACGGTAACAATAGATTTTAATATATTTTTATACCATCTTTCCAAGCGTGTATCACCATCTTACACTCGTACACTCATATGAATAATACTTTTCCTAGAAAAAAAATTAATCCAGCATTTTGGGAATTAGGATGAGGTTTTATCGAGCGTCCCTCGTATACAATATACCCGAAATTTGGCAATGATGTTTACATTTCCACATTCCTTCGCGAAAATCACCTGTCATCTGTCGACGCATCATTCTTCCGGTTCGCTCATTTTCTCCACGTGAAACAGATGTAGGAGCTTAGAAGGGATTTTACCGGTTTTTTCCCCCAAAATTGCTTTTCGATAATTTTCAATGTATTCGAGGGTTTTGATATATAGTGTTAACACCTAACGATGGTTTCTGTCATTATCAAAAAACCCAATGTGTCCGTCCGTTTGGTATTATATTTGTAACAAGTGCTCTCATCCACGCGTTCGTTTTGAAACACCATTTGGCTGCAACCTCAGCGACGAGTAAGTTGTTTGATAATTTAAATCCTTCCCGTATTGGTTGCCAGCATCATAATTGTGTTTTTAGCTCCTGAAGATGGCTCCATAGAGAATGGCGAAAGCTCGAGATTACCGTTAAAAGAGTTTACTAAAGCCTAAAAATATTTTGCCAATTTCCCAATTAACAATTAATTGTATTTTTTGCCCAACTGGTCGTAGGCAATGGCAATGACTACTGCTCGCCTTGTATATATATATATATATATATACTTTTTTTAATTCTCTCTAGCTTTCAATGGACTTTGCCATCATCATCAGGAGCTGTAATTACAATGATAACAGTAGCAACAAAGGTGTAAAATGAATTTAAATTGACTCAACTTACAGTAGTATGTGAGAATGTTGCTAATTGTTGTTTTCGTATAGGATGAGGGAAACGTCCAGTAACATGGTGAGAGCTGAATAGGTTGCACAATAGTCAAAATTTATACAAAACATGACAAGAACACGTTAAAAACAGATTAAAAATTATTTTAAAAAATTAGAACATTAC